TCAGATTAATCCACTTTGCCCATGGATGAATCTAATATTCACAAAGGTACTCAGTCACTGGTGACGCATAGGGGGTATACACGGGTGCATGCACACCCTGAGATCAGCCGTGCATCCCCTGGAAGCACCAGCCGTGAAACTCAAAGTGCGCGACTGGCCGCTGGAGGATCCCTCTTCTCTCCCCCACCCCCGTTGGTGATCTGGTGCCCTCCCACACTCGGGACACACCAGTCGCCCAATCACTCAGTGCAGTGGAAGCGTACACAAGGAATTGGTGCTGAAACCACTTGCATTTTAAATTTACAACCTGGCTTATTTTGCAGTTTGTTCCCTGACAAACCCTTAGCTTAAGGACTAACTAGGAACAAGGCATTCTTGTTGCAGCATACATTTCCCAATATTTAATTATTCAGGGCTAGCTGCGCCTGAATAACTCCATGTGTAGACCAGCTGAGATCATTAAGATTTGTTAAGCATTCTGAGATCTCTACTTAGAGTTCTGGACAAGTTAAATTTCAGGTTAATGCACATTTACATAGCCTGACAATTGTAGAGAAATATTTTTGACTCCACCCTGTGTAATCTGTTAATTAATTTAGGACGTATCTAGAATGACAAATAGCTGTTTGTTGCAGAAAATAAATTAGCACTACCTTAAGTTGTTGACTGAGCTGTCAGCAGCAAAAAATAGAAAAAACAAAATTTGAAATAGAAAAGAAGAAAAAAAAAATCCTTGGTTATTTCGATTAGGATCCCACATTGGAGTGCCATTCACCTACAGTGCTTCCATGATTGAACCTTAATACTTTTTAGAATGTGTATTAAGAGATGGTAGATCTGAGCTATGGAACAGAAAATGTGACCTGCTGAGGGTCTAATTTTCTGAATAACATCTGTTTTCCAATTACCAGTGTGTCAGGATTGAGATCCTACAGCTGGATGTAGAAGATGTCTTAAAGGAACTCTATGCAGTTTTATTAGTTCTAAGTAGTGTGGAGCTTTCAGACACATGGAGGTAATTAGAAATACTATAGCTTATTTCCTTTTCAACTTCTCACTAAGGTCTTGCCTTTGACTAGGAAAAAATGTGTTTGTACTACGTATTAGGTAAAACATGTTAAAGTTGGAGTGCGGACAGAGTAAGCTGAACTTTAATGTGTTTGTTAGTACAGGGAAATTCTACGGGAGGGTCAAGGGTTTAATCTCAGCCACCTAATACATGTGATACTTAGAGCTTACCTTTTCAGCACTGGGATTTTAACACATTAACTAGAACATATTTAAAAAATATTTTTTCCTTACTGTAGACAAGGGCTAGGAGAATTAGAGGAAAGACATATTAAGTCCCCTAGACAAAGCTGCGATAGTGCATGCATGGCCAGTCTTAATTGGAAAACAAAATATTCACAGATTCACAGGCTAGGGCTGGAAGGGACCTCGTGAGATCATCAGGTCCAGCCCCCCTGCTCTGGGCAGGAAAGATTGGTGGGGTCAGATAACCCCAGCAATTGATATTCATCTTTAATCCAGGGCCAAAGAAATCTATCGTCACGTACCAAACTGAGATAGTATGTGGGCAAGCCCTTCCTAGCTGAAATTGTACTTACTGTCCTAATCAGTATTCTGATTGTGGGTTTAACCAAATTTGCCTTTTAAATGAATATTGCTATAGTAAAAAAGATGTTCTATGCTCATGGCATCTAATTATTGTGCTTCTTTCATTATGCCATAGTCATTAATCTGTGTCATTCTCATTACCTTTGCCCTACTTTTATTCCTAGAAGTTTGGTGCAGTATGGTTGACTGGTCTAAGTACAGGCACACACTTTTCCTTTCTTTTCCATCCTTCACCACTTCCTTTGTGTCTGGGCACCACCTGAACTGATACAGACTCTCCCAATTACTAACCTGATTGGCAGCTGAAGTAATTCCTTTGTGGACTTTGTTCCTCTCCAACCACAGTCCTCTGCCCAGAGACTCCCTCTGCTAACAGTGTTCAAATTTGAGGGACATTCGTTGTATTTCTCCCACAGCCAATTGAGTTGAAGGGCTTATCTACATGAAAAAGTTACCAGTGTATTTATACTAGTTTAATTACACCATTGTAGCTGTAGTGGTGTAAATCACCACGGGTTGCAAAATAAGCATGTTTACCCAAGGAGTTATACCAGTGTAACAGTCTGGTTATCTTGGCAAATTCTGTTGGGTGGCTAAGTCTGGAGGGGCACTCTCTGCATCGTAAAGGACACAAGTTGATTGTGCTGCTGATTACATTGTATACGGGAAGTTGTACCTTATCAGAACAAACTGCCCACTGTTTTAATTTCCTTGTAGTCATTTTCTCCAATGAAGCAGTTAGTTGATGAGAACAAGGACAATCTAAGTATCTCTGGCAACTGGCCTGCTTGGCTGATTCCAGTTTTTCTGCTAGTTCATAAGAGACTACTTCTGTCAAAAGCCAGGGGTGTCAACTGCTGCAAAGTGCCAGGTGCAATTCCCAGGCTTATGGATAGAAGGGATCAGAGAAGCGTGGTTCTCACAGAACTTGTCCCATCAAAAAGCCCAAACACCTTGGTGGTGATTGCTTGTGACATGGAATGTGTAACTGGGCACTTGTTAAGCCAAATTCCCCCTACCAAGGTCATGGCTGCAAACCTTTCCATGCCAGAGCTTTGACCTGCCTCTTCTGAAGAAGTAAACCCGCTGGCAGTTGCTGGAGCATCCCAGCAAACCACTCCAACTCTGGCAGTCACAACCAGACTTCATTTTGGTTTTCACCTGCGACTGTTAATAACACTGTGCCAACACAGCATGAACGTGTAAATTCAAATGACCTTTTTTTCCTCTTTGCATGCAAATTGCTCCAGGACCATTTCCTCTGCAAATTGCTCATTTTCCTTCCCACTGCAGTTAATCATTTGGAGAAGACACTGTTTATTTCTCCAAAAACTGATCAGGTTTCTGTCAGGGAAAGGAAGGAAGGAAAGGTCCCCAGAAACTTCCCACTGGGTAGCTCTAAGACCATGCTTTTCCACAGGGAAAGGACAAAGGTCAGACATCCTGGAAGATTACTTAAGTAAAAACAGGTCTGAATTAAAATCAGCTTCTCCACAGGGCAGGAGATCTTGCCCTTGGGGTTTAAGCAAATGTAGGTTTTCACCCTACATAAACTGAAGCTAGGAACAGACACTGCACTTGTCCCTGGACAAGTTCCTGCTCATGTTTGTCATGGAACAGAAATGTCCCAGGTTTGGGGTGTTCGCACATCGCCCCTCTAATCAGGGGTTAGTGAGCAGCTGAACGCACCGCAGCTCTTCTACCACTGATTCAACGATGCAATCCTGGGATAACCTTTCAGATGCACTTTGTGATGCCCTGAGATAAACTGTTAGTACTTCTTATCCCATGAACCTTTTTAGGATTAATCCTGGGACAACTATCATGGACATCTGAACAACCGTGCTTTGTTCCTGGATAAAATGGTCTCTCCTAGGACATCTGTGATGTCTGTTTGTAGTCTAACTGAATGAACTGGCACAGAAAAATGTACATTTGTATTCAGTAAGTTCTTTTCCTCCAAGCCTGTTTTCTACATCAAGAAAACAGAACAAGGCATGAGGAAACTGAACCCCTCCCTGCAATCCTGTACCTTTTGGCTGTGCAGCTCAGCCTCTCGAAGGCATTCTGCTCCTGTTGCCTACCAGTCAGCAATTCCAACAGCCTTTTCCTGAGCACCTGTGCTGGAAACTAGGCAAGCTGAGCTGACATCAGCCTCTTGCTCACATTTGCACTTTCTAAACAAATATTATTTCACATCTGCCATTCCCCTGTGCTCAGCATCATTAACAACAATCATATCAACGCCTTCTTCCTGGATGCTAAATAGTCCAGACACTCAAAGACAATGTATAAGCAAGCCTGGACACAGATATGGCCCCAACAGACAGCAATCGGCAAGGATTTTAAGAATCAAAATTTCTGCCAACCATAGAAACGTTCAGGCCTGGCACAAGTTCTTACATCAGGTCAGCAGCATAATTAATGGTAGGCGAGCAGGGCACCAGCAATCTTTCAGAGCAGCAGCAGCCCCAAGCCACGGCTTTAGCAGTGCTGTGCAGGGACACGACACGACTGTACCAGTTGCTGCAGCAGCTGTAACCAGGGGCAAGCAAACAGCACCAGACAACAGCCGGGCTTCTCAGGGCGGGTAAGGCTGACCACCCCCTCTAGTGCTCAGCACCTTCCCCCTGCCCCACCTGCCCAAGGGTTCTGGCTCAGGGTCCAAACCTGGTTAGTTCTGCCTCTTGCACCAGGTCCCCTAACCACTGACTCGAGTTTGTCCCTATGTATCTGTATTTTAAGCAGGAGTAATATAGCACCGGAAGGATCTTTATGTAAAAAGAAAAACTTGGTTTGATGTAAAAAAGGCATTTGTGACCTGATTAAATGTCATGCATTCAGCTCCCTGGAATGAATGGCTGAGTCTGGAATAAAATTTCCCACTGTCCTCTCCTCTGGGTGGCTCTGCTTTTGTGGCTCAATAGCTTAACAATCTACTGTAGTTAATACTAAAGTGATTTAAAATGTCATTAAAATATATATATTTGTTACTCTTGTTCCAATAAAACTTACCTTTTCAGCCATCATAAATGCCATCCCAATCATCTTGCAAATTCGGCAGATATTCTAAAGTAGAGAAATTTCTGTGCACAGCACAATCGCAGCATGAATTACTGAAACTGAAACGTTTACTTTGATTGACAACTTAATATGAAATATTAAAGACATGTTATTTGTTACATTTCTGTAACAATAGGAAAATAAGCACCAGGAGTTCTGTATACCAA